TCCTTCCTTCCTTCCTTCCTTCCTTCCTTCCTTCCTTCCTTCCTTCCTTCCTTCCTTCCTTCCTTCCTTCCTCCCCACATGCAATTAACCAAGTTTCTGGCTTGAGTGATCCTGTAGTCTATTCTCTTGAAGTCGAATGATGAAGGAGCCAACTCTAACTGCAGGGGATGTTCAGTCTAATTGGTTCAAGGAATCATCATTGAGATGAGCCCAATTTCTGCATGGGAAATGGAGAGGGGATGAAGAAGAATGGCACAGCACATATCAATCAGAATAGAGCTGGAAGGGACCTCGGAGGTCTTCTAGTCCAACCCCCTGCTCAAGCAGGAGAACCTAGACCATTTCAGATAGGTGGCTATCCAGTCTTTTCTTAAAAAACAAAGTACATCTGTGTTTTAAAAACCACATCAAGAGAAACCATTTGGGGATTGGGGAAAAAAAATGAATTAAAGATGCTGAGAAGCATTTTTAATGTGCCGGGGATTCCCTGTGTCAGTGGCACATGGTCAAGCTCAAAAACAAAACATCTTCTCATAAAATGTGCTGTGTCTCTGTCTCTCACTTTCTCAGTGCGTGTGTGTGTGTATTTGTGTGTACTACTATCTGTGCTGCACAGCTGTAAATTGAAGGGTGTGATAGAAAACATACAGCCCACCCTGCAGAAGCTAGGCCCTTGGCTGCTTCAACAAATGTGTGGATAATAAAATACGGTTCAGAGGGTTTGAGAAAAGCAAGTGTACTACTATCAAGTACGCAATGACACTCTGCGCTTAAAAGGAAAGGAAACCACATGCTATTTGGAGAGGCGAAACCATTTGAAATTGAAACACGGAATCTGTGACCTTTCCGTTGTTGGCTCATGTCAATTCTCTTGGTAGAAGCCGATGTGAATTATATACCATTAAACACATGGAACAATCCAGGTTCCTCAACCCTAGTTCTTTGGGGAGTCACTAAATCTGACCTCAAAATGCCTTCAAAAGCCAAGGAAGGGGATCGCAGGGCTATGAGTTCCAGGTTCCTCAACCATCGTTGTTCAGGAGACCATCTGAATCTAACCTCAACATGCCTTTGAAAAACCTAGGAAGGGGATTACAGGGCTATGAGTTCCAGGTTCCTCAACCCTCGTTGTTCAGGAGACCCCCTAAATCTGACCTCAAAATGCCCTTTAAAAGCCTGGTAAGGGGATTACAGGGCTATGAGTTCCAGGTTCCTCAACCCTCGTTGGTCAGGAGACCTCCTGAATCTGCCTCAAAATACCTGTAAAAGGTTAGGAAAGGGACTGCAGGGCTGTGGAGGTTCCTCAACCCTCGTTGTTCAGGAGACCCCCTGAATCTGACCTCAAAATGCCCTTTAAAAGCCTAGGAAGGGGATTACAGGGCTATGAGTTCCAGGTTCCTCAACCCTCGTTGATCAGGAGACCCCCTGAATTTGACTCAAAATACCTTCAAAAGCCTAGGGATTGCAGGGCTATGAGTTCCAGATTCCTCAACCCTCGTTGTTCAGGAGACCCCCCTGAACCTAGGAAAACCTAGGAAGGAGATTACAGGGCTACGAGTTCCAGGTTCCTCAACCCTTGTTGGTCAGGAGACCTCCTGAATCTGCCTCAAATTACCTATAAAAGGTTAGGAAGGGGATCGCAGTGCTGTGGAGGTTCCTCAACCCTCGTTGTTCAGGAGACACCCCCCCCCCCCGAATCTGACCTCAAAATGCCTTCAAAAGCTTAGGAAGGGGATGGCAGGGCTGTGCGATGCTAAGCAGAATCGTTTCCAGTAGACCTTCACCAGGCCAAGGAAAAGCCGAAGAGCTGGAAGAGGTATCGAGCAGCAGGCAAATCATTTAAGCTTCCTGTCCAGGCTAAGTCCCACTGGGAAACCGCTCGACATGCCTTGGCAAAAGACTGCGAGCTTTTGATGCTGGAATTTGAATAGGATCGTAGATTTATAACCCACTCCAAGCTAGAGACACCAAACGAGGTGATAATATTTCCTCTTTTCGGTTCAAAAGCAAATCTGAGCTGATCTGCAGGAGAAGAGGGGGCCCACCACATCAAGGTAAAAGGTCCTGTTTTCCAAATCTCTGAATAACAGCCACGGAGAAAGGCCCCCCGGGAGCTCTCCAACAGTATCCAGAACAGAAAGACTGTTTCTTTTTGCAAAAAAACAAAAAAGAAGAAGAAGAAGAAAAGTATAATTGCTTCCCAACAGGACTTCAAATGTTAATTTTTACATATGGAAGAAGGAGGAGGCTTCATCGCTAGCTCACCAAGGCTCGGGAGCTTTTAGGAACAGCTTTGGAACACACCTGGAAAGCGACGGCAAATAAATTCATTTTTGTTGGGAAGAGACCACCCAGGTTTATACCGACGAGGAGTCAGAACAATTTAGAGTCAACCTCTCTTTAAAGAAGCGCGAAATATCAGCCAGCAAGAGAATAGCAGGGGGGGGGAGAAATGCAGATTAACATCCAAGGTGGAAATAAACCTAACTATTTGCACGGGATCCTGTCCCCCCCACACATCTCTGTCCTTTGGCTGGGCGTGCAAAGAAGAAACGCAAAAAAACCAACAACAGCAATTGAGCACCGAGAAGCTAGGTCTGAACCGTGAGACATGGCTTCGGATCGCTCCGAAGGAGGCGAGTACATTCAAAGACCTCCCATTAGCCAGATCCAGTTTCAAACCCAAGGTCCAATTTGGGGATGTTGGGCCAAGCCCCACAGCGAGAAGCTGGCAGAGATGGAAAAAGACTTCCTGGAATAAGGGGAGACAAAGCGTTGCTGAAAAACCAAATGGGAATGTTCTGACACAGACAGACAGACTAGGGCTTCTGTACTTCTTTTCTGTCAAGCTAAAGTCCCCATCATCTCACTGGATGGTGAGCTTTCCAAATACAGATTACTGCCAACATGAGAGAAACAGGAGAGAGAAAGAGGGGAAGGAAGAAGGAAGAGGCAAATGTCATATTAAAGTTAAAAAAAAACCCCAAAAAAACACAACATGTTGGATGGTTTGAGCTTGCGAGAGTCAGCTGTTCAAAGGAAACAGGAAATACAGCTTTAAACAACTGCTCTTTTTCCAAACAGAGACCATGTTGTTCTCTTTCAGTTGGGTGGGAATGAACGTGTTTTATCCTCCAAAGGAGAAATCAGTGTGAGTGAGATTCTAATGGTTGGGAGGTGGGTTTCTTGTCCATACATCAGCTGGACAGGGTCTGAATGTCAGAAGGAAGGAAGGAAGGAAGGAAGGAAGGAAGGAAGGAAGGAAGGAAGGAAGGAAGGAAGGAAGGAAGGGAGGAAGGAAGGAAGGAAGGAAGGAAGAGAGCGAGGGAGGGAAGGAGGGAGGGAGGGAGGAAGGAAGGAAGGAAGGAAGGAAGAAGAACTTGGAGGGAGGAAAGGAAGGAAGGGAGGAAGGAAGGAAGAGAGCGAGGGAGGGAAGGAGGGAGGGAGGGAGGAAGGAAGGAGGAAGAACTTGGAGGGAGGAAACGAAGGAGGGACAAAGGAAGGAAGGAAGGAAGGACTGACTCAGAGGGAGGGAGGAGAAAGGAAGGAAAGGGAAGAGAAGGAAGGAAAGAAGGAAGGAAATTCTAAGTCATCCTAAACATAAACACGAAGGAAGGAAAAATAAGTTCTATGGGGACATGGAAAGAACAATTCCAGCATCTTCCTAATCCATGGCCCACCCAGCTCTTTTCTTCTTCTTCTTTTTTTTTGTTCCTTTTCTTTTGTAGCAAATGCAGAATTTAAAACCAGGACCGATTTGTTCCTCTGCACACCACCTTTCCCGCTCAAGACTGATCTCTGTTAAAGATCCACTGAAAAAAACAACAACCAAAGAAAGCATTTTCCACCCGAGAAGAATGAAAAAAAAAACCAGGAAAAAAAACCCCCAACGACAAAGCTCTTTCCTTTCGTTTCTCCCGCTGCTAATTTAAGTCCAAGCTTGGGGGAAAACTGTGCCGGTTGGACGGAGGTCACCGAGAGGGGTCAGAGGAGGTGGAAATAATCTATGGACCCTTCTCCCTTGTGGGTTAAATGGCCCGGGCCTGTTTGTATTCAGCCAGAGCCACATGGCTCCTGCCAACAATGGCAAAAGGTCAACCACCCCTTTCCCTTTTCGTCTTACTCCGGACGATCCCCTTGATCCCCGGCCCTTCTGAAGTTGGCAGCTAATGAGCGAGTAAAAATCCAGCGGGGACTTACTTACCTCTGTTCGGCCGAGCTATAGGTCTGTCCGCTCTGACAGCTGCTGACAGCGATGGGGTCAAAATCCTGGAAGGAGCGCAAGGCCACCCCGGAGATCGCCACATACTGAGATCTGAAGGTGATGAGAATGGCTTGAGTGTGGTAGAAATGCTGGCTAAGGTCATGGACAACCGGGATAATCAAAGGGTTCTTGCGACAGCTCAAGCCGTGCTCCCCTGGAGGAGGGGATGGGGGGCGTGAGGGTTGGAGGTAGAGAGGGGAAAAGGGGAGAAGGGGGAGGGAAGCAGGGTTGGTGGGAAAAAAAGAGAGAGGAAAAAAAAGATGAAAAGGGTCATTAATTGGGCAGAAGAAGCTAAATGGAAAAGATTGTAGAATGGATGGTTTCTTCTGAGGCTTCCAGCCAGTGGCACCATCCAACATAGAGCTAAGAAGAGGTTGAACAATCCCTTATCTGAAATGGTATGGGTTCTCCTGCTTGAGCAGGGGGCTGGACTAGAAGACCTCCAAGGTCCCTTCCAACTGTGTTATTCTGCTATTCTTTTTTTCCTTCCTTCCTTCCTTCCTTCCTTCCTTCCTTCCTTCCTCCCTCCCTCCCTCCCTCCCTCCCTCCCTCCCTCACCACTGGAGGTTTTTAAGAGGAGATACCATTTGTCTGAAATGGTAGAATTTCCTGCTTGAGCAGGGGATTGGACTAGAAGACCTCCAAGGTCCCTTCCAACTCTGTTATTCTGCTATTCTTTTTTCCTTCCTTCCTTCCTTCCTTCCTTCCTTCCTCCCTCGCCTGCTGCTGATTTTTGTCTGTCTATTTTTGTAAATATATATATTCCTGTTCCCTGGCCTATCCCAAGGGGAAGCCCCAAAAAAACCATTTTATTTCATGTTGTGTTATAACCAAGCCAGCATTCTCACCGAGATCGTGACTTTGGTTTTTGGTGTCCACCAGCTGCACAAAAATGGACTCTTGTTTCTGGTCCAGATCCATCTCCAGCCATGTCCCATCTGTTACCAAGTGGATGATCACTGCAGTGGCTACCATGGGTCGGGCATAGAAAGCCTGGGGAGGAGAGAGAATAAGGGCGTGTGGATCGGTTCCTTCTGCTTCTCTTTGGACCTCATTATTTTATCTACTTGCATTGCATATTTACCTTTAGCCAGAAAACTGTGTGAGTGTGGTTGGCAGTGCAGGGATACCACGCATATCGGGCCAGAGCATCGTTGAAATCGTACTCCTTGGTCCGGCACATCTGATGAAAAGAACATAAAGTCCGGTAAACAGTCTGATGTAACATGTGACTGACCAAAATTAAAAGGATGATTTTTAATTATTTTAAGTGAATTAAATCAAATTGTCGGAGCATCCCACAGCTTGTTATCCCGTGGCAAGTTGGCCATGGTGAGCTGTCTTGCAGCGAGTTGACTGTGGTAAGTTGGTCATGGCGAATTGGCCACAGCGAGTTGACCATGTTGAGTTGGCCAAGGCAAGTTGGCCACATTGAGTTGGCCAAAGCGAGTTGGCCATGTTGAGTTGGCCAAGGCAAGTTGGCCATGGTGAATTGACCACAACGAGTTGACCATGTTGAGTTGGCCAAGGCAAGTTGACCATGTTGAGTTGGCCAAGGCGAGTTGGCCATGTTGAGTTGGCCAAGGTGAGTTGGCTGTGTTGAGTTGGCCAAGGCAAGTTGACCATGTTGAGTTGGCCAAGGCAAGTTGGCTGTCGCAAGTTGTCGTAGACCCCATTTAGCACTATTTTGCAAACCCAAGGCATAGAGATATCACACCAAATCAGTTTATTACAGCCACATGGCCAGAAGCAGTAAAATATCCAATTATAGGCTACTTACATACATCTATAAAAATGCACTGAGCATAATCAATGATGAATAAGAACACATATAATACAATTAACTTTGTTTTTAAAAAAATATGAAAAAGATCTAAAAATAATATTTATCTTATTTATGTTTCCAATGAATCTGCTGCACAGAATCTAGCCACCTGTGCCCTAATCACCATCCTTAAACAACCACTGGAGATAAGTAGCGTCAGAACGGCCAGGATATCTATCAATTATTGGGAGGATATAGTTTTTTCAAATATCTCTATAGAAAGAGCATCGAAGGCGTATGTGTCCAATGGGGTCCACCTCTCCTGAGCCACAGAAGCAGAGTCTTTCAATCAACGGTATGGTTTTCATACTTGCCGTGCAAGACGGCCGATGGAAGCGCAGGGCACCATGCGAGCAAAAATGCTTTCCGGTGGTTTGCTGACTCCAACTGGCTAAGATAACTGGTGGGAGTAACAACATATCCAATAGAGTCTTCAAGCTTCCCTTTGTGGAGAACTCCATACATCAGTGGTGGCGAACCTATGGCACGGGTGCCAGAGGCGGCACTCAGAGCCCTCTCTGTGGGCACATGCGCCATTGCCCCAGTCCTAGGCCTTCAGCTGGGTTTTATAAAACATTTTCGCTTTAGGCCTCCGCCGCCGTGTGCAAAAAAGGTCCAATCAGTCAATTTCAACTTCTCACTGGAAAAAAAAAAAGGTCTTGCAAAGTTGGAATTGATTGATTGAACTTTTTAGTCCCACCCAATCTGCCGTTACCACTGCAGCCACGCCCACCCAATGGGCCACACCCAGCCAATTGGCCACACCCACCCAATGGCCACACCCACCCGGCACTCGACGATGCATAAATGGGTTTTGGGTTGCAGTTTGGGCACTCAGTCTCTAAAAGGTTTGCCATCACTGCCCTACATTTTCAAGACACCAGAGGGACCACATCTTCTAGAATCCCTCACTTCTGGGTCTATTGGCATTTCAAAATTGTACCTCAACAAGACCTTGAAGGTGTGAAGATCCCCACCCTTGACCTACAATCCAGACAGCTGCTCCTCAAAACTTTCTGGGAGAAGGAGAAAAATATCTCTGCTTCTAACCATGTGTGTTCTCATATATATATATATATTTAGAGAGAGTTTTAAGACATTTTGTTGCAGAAGGAGAAGTCACCAATCTTGACTTGTTGCAGAAGGAGAAGTCACCAATCTTGACTTGTTGCAGAAGGAGAAGTCACCAATCTTGACTTGTTGCAGAAGGAGAAGTCACCAATCTTGACTTGTTGCAGAAGGAGAAGTCACCAATCTTGACTTCCAGGCTAAGATGGGTGGAGGGATCTTGGCATTTAGGGAAGAAAAGCACCATCCTCCGGGTATCCCTTGCTCCAGCAACAGCAATGCAAGTTTCATTAATTTGCTGGTCTGCCTTCATCCCCCCTCCCCAAATAAATTAAAAATAAATAAATCAGCCCTCTGAAAAAATGGCCGTTCATTAGCTCTAGTGACAAGACTGTCCTGGAATCAGGAACAACGGAAAGATTTTGAAGGGAACGTTGGGAACTTCCACGGTGGCAAACGCAGGAAAGGAATTCCATAGGACCTCAAGTAAGAACATCCACACAGAATAAAATACAATAAAATAAAAAATTCAAGTATTCAGAGAACGGAGCCAAAAGTGAAGTCATGATTTCTCTCATTTAAATCCCAAAAAGCAGAGAGAGAGAGAGAGAGAGAGAGAGAGAGAGAGAGAGAGAGAGAGAGAGAGAGAGAGAGAGAGAGAGAGAGAGGGAGAAAAGGNGGGAGGGAGGGAGGGAGAGAGGGAGGGGAAGGAGGGAGGGAGGAAGAAGGAAGGAGGGAGGGAGGAAGAACTTGAAGGGAGGAAAGGAAGGAAGGAAGGAAAGAAGGAAAGAAAGAAGGGAGGGAGGAAGAACTTGGAGGGAGGGAGGGAGAAGGAGGGAGGAAGGAAGAAGGAAGGAAGGAAGGAAGGAGGGAGGAAGAACTTGGAGGGAGGGAAGGAAGGAGGGACGAAGGAAGGAAGGAAGGACTGACTCAGAGGGAGGGAGGAAAAAGGAAGTAAAGGGAAGAGAAGGAAGGAAGGAAGGAAGGAAAGAAAGAAGAGAAGGAGGGAGGGAGGGAGGAGAAGGAGAGAGGGAGGGAGGGAGGCAGAAGGGAGGAAGGGAGGGAGAAAGGAAGAACTTGGAGGGAGGAAAGGAAGGAAGGAAGGAAGGAAGGGAAGAAGGAAGGAAGGAAGGAAGGAAGGAAGGAAGAGAGCGAGGGAGGGAGGGAGGAAGGGAGGAAGAACTTGGAGTAGGAAAGGAAGGAGGGACAAAGGAAGGAAGGAAGGACTGACTCAGAGGGAGGGAGGAGAAAGGAAGGAAAGGGAAGAGAAGGAAGGAAAGAAGGAAGGAAATTCTAAGTCATCCTAAACATAAACACGAAAGAAGAAAAATAAGTTCTATGGGGACATGGAAAGAACAATTCCAGCATCTTCCTAATCCATGGCCCACCCAGCTGTTTTTTCTTCTTTTTTTTTTTGTTCCTTTTCTTTTGTAGTAAATGCAGAATTTAAAGCCAGGACTAAACAGCTCAAGACTGACCTGTTAAAGATCCACTGAAAAAAACAACAACCAAAGAAAGCATTTTCCTCCCGAGAAGAATGAAAAAAAAAAAAACAAAAAAAAAAAACCCAACGACAAAGCTCTTTCCTTTCGTTTCTCCCGCTGCTAATTTAAGTCCAAGCTTGGGGAAAACTGTGCCGGTTGGACTGAGGTCACTGAGAGGGGTCAGAGGAGGTGGAAATAATCTATGGACCCTTCTCCCTTGTGGGTTAAATGGCCCGGGCCTGTTTGTATTCAGCCAGAGCCACATGGCTCCTGCCAACAATGGCAAAAGGTCAACCACCCCTTTCCCTTTTCGTCTTACTCCGGACGATCCCCTTGATCCCCGGCCCTTCTGAAGTTGGCAGCTAATGAGCGAGTAAAAAGCCAGCCGGGACGTACTTACTTACCTCTGTTCAGCCGAGCTATAGGTCTGTCCGCTCTGACAGCTGCTGACAGCGATGGGGTCAAAATCCTGGAAGGAGCGCAAGGCCACCCCGGAGATCGCCACATACTGAGATCTGAAGGTGATGAGAATGGCTTGAGTGTGGTAGAAATGCTGGCTAAGGTCATGGACAACCGGGATAATCAAAGGGTTCTTGCGACAGCTCAAGCCGTGCTCCCCTGGAGGGGGGGATGGGGGGGGGGGAGGGTTGGAGGTAGAGAGGGGAAAAGGGGAGAAGGGGGAGGGAAGCAGGGTTGGTGGGAAAAAAAGAGAGAGAGGGAAAAAAAAGATGAAAAGGGTCATTAATTGGGCAGAGGAAGCTAAATGGAAAAGCAGTAGCAAAACCCCGAGATTGTAGAATGGATGGTTTCTTCTGAGGCTTCCAGCCAGTGGCACCATCCAACGTAGAGCTAAGAAGAGGTTGAACAAATCCCTTATCTGAAATGGTATGGGTTTTCTCCTGCTTGAGCAGGGGGATGGACTAGAAGACCTCCAAGATCCCTTCCAACTGTGTTATTCTGCTATTCTTTTTTTCCCTTCCTTCCTTCCTTCCTTCCTTCCTTCCTTCCTTCCTTCCTTCCTTCCTTCCTTCCTTCCTCCCTCCCTCATCACTGGAGGTTTTTTTTTTTTCCCAAAGAAATTTTATTATTTTCCATCATAAAAAAACAATCAAAAGCATAATAAACACAGTAACAAGTAAAAACCCCCCACCCACCCCCCAGACTTCCCAAACCTAATCCCAGGATAATATTCATATATAAGTAAACAAATACTAATATCCCTAACTCCACGAAGTATCTTAATCTACAAAAAGGGATAGAAAGAATAAACAAAATAGAAAAAAATCTAAAAACCTAAGTTATATTCTACCACTCTATGCTTCCTTTGAATATAAACAATCCATCTTTTCCATATTGATAAAAATTGTTCATTTGAATGATTCTTCAGATAAGCCGAAATCTTTGCCATTTCAGCAAGATACGAAACTTTCAATCTCCAGTCCTCCATTGTAGGCAGAATTGGGCTCTTCCAATTTTGGGCTATCAACAAACGGGCAGCAGTTAGACAATAAAGCATCAAATTTGTTTCTTTTACATCTAAATCTTGCACAATACCTAAAAGAAACAACTGTGGAAGAAAAATAATCCTTTTTTAAAAAATTTGCTGTAAGTTCCACCACAATTGTATCCAGAAGGCCTTAATAACCTTACAAGTCCACCACATATGAAAAAAAGTTGCATCTGGATGGAGATACCATTTGAGCAGGGGGTTGGACTAGAAGACCTCCAAGGTCCCTTCCAACTCTGTTATTCTGCTATTCTTTTTTTTCCTTCCTTCCTTCCTTCCTTCCTTCCTTCCTTCCTTCCTTCCTTCCTTCCTTCCTTCCTTCCTTCCTTCCTTCCTTCCTTCCTCGCCTACTGCTGATTTTTGTCTGTCTATTTTTGTAAATATATATATATTCCTGTTCCCTGGCCTATCCCAAGGGGAAGCCCCCCCAAAAAAACATTTTATTTCATGTTGTGTTATAACCAAGCCAGCATTCTCACCGAGATCGTGACTTTGGTTTTTGGTGTCCACCAGCTGCACAAAAATGGACTCTTGTTTCTGGTCCAGATCCATCTCCAGCCATGTCCCATCTGTTACCAAGTGGATGATCACTGCAGTGGCTACCATGGGTCGGGCATAGAAAGCCTGGGGAGGAGAGAGAATAAGGGCATGTGGATCGGTTCCTTCTGCTTCTCTTTGGACCTCATTATTTTATCTACTTGCATTGCATATTTACCTTTAGCCAGAAAACTGTGTGAGTGTGATTGGCAGTGCAGGGATACCATGCATATCGGGCCAGAGCATCGTTGAAATCGTACTCCTTGGTCCGGCACATCTGATGAAAAGAACATAAAGTCCGGTAAACAGTCTGATGTAACATGTGACTGACCAAAATTAAAAGGATGATTTTTAATTATTTTAAGTGAATTAAATCAAATTGTCGGAGCGTCCCACAGCTTGTTATCCCATGGCAAGTTGGCCATGGTGAGCTGTCTTGCAGCAAGTTGACTGTGGTAAGTTGGTCATGGCGAATTGGCCACAGCGAGTTGACCATGTTGAGTTGGCCAAGGCAAGTTGGCCATGTTGAGTTGGCCAAAGCGAGTTGGCCATGTTGAGTTGGCCAAGGCAAGTTGGCCATGGCGAATTGACCACAACGAGTTGACCATGTTGAGTTGGCCAAGGTGAGTTGGCCATGTTGAGTTGGCCAAGGTGAGTTGGCTGTGTTGAGTTGGCCAAGGCAAGTTGACCATGTTGAGTTGGCCAAGGCAAGTTGGCTGTCACACATTGTCGTAGACCCCATTTAGCACTATTTTGCAAACCCAAGGCATAAAAATATCAAACCAAATCAGTTTATTACAGCCACATGGCCAGAAGCAGTAAAATATCCAATTATAGGCTACTTACATACATACATCTATAAAAATGCACTGAGCATAATCAATGATGAATAAGAACACATATAATACAATTAACTTTGCTTTTAAAAAAATATGAAAAAGATCTAAAAATAATATTTATCTTATTTATGTTTCCAATGAATCTGCTGCACAGAATCTAGCCACCTGTGCCGTAATCACTGTCCTTAAACAACCCACTGGAGATAAGTAGCGTCAGAATGGCCAGAATATCTATCAATTATTGGGAGGATATAGTTTTTTCGAATATCTCTATAGAAAGAGCATCGAAGGAGTATGTGTCCAATGGTGTCCACCTCTCCTGAGCCACAGAAGCAAAGTCTTTCAATCAACGGTATGGTTTTCATACTTGCCGTGCAAGACGGCCAATGGAAGCGCAGGGCACCATGCGAGCAAAAATGCTTTCCGGTGGTTTGCTGACTCCAACTGGCTAAGATAACTGGTGGGAGTAACAACATATCCAATAGAGTCTTCAAGCTTCCCTTTGTGGAGAACTCCCTACATCAGTGGTGGCGAACCTATGGCACGGGTGCCAGAGGCGGCACTCAGAGCCCTCTCTGTGGGCACATGCGCCATTGCCCCAGTCCTAGGCCTTCAGCTGGGTTTTATAAAACATTTTCGCTTTAGGCCTCCGCCGCCGTGTGCAAAAAAGGTCCAATCAGTCAATTTCAACTTCTCACTGGAAAAAAAAAAGGTCTTGCAAAGTTGGAATTGATTGATTGAACTTTTTAGTCCCACCCAATCTGCCGTTACCACTGCAGCCACGCCCACCCAATGGGCCACACCCAGCCAATTGGCCACACCCAGCCAATGGCCACACCCACCCGGCACTCGACGATGCATAAATGGGTTTTGGGTTGCAGTTTGGGCACTCAGTCTCTAAAAGGTTTGCCATCACTGCCCTACATTTTCAAGACACCAGAGGGACCACATCTTCTAGAATCCCTCACTTCTGGGTCTATTGGCATTTCAAAATTGTATCTCAACAAGACCTTGAAGGTGTGAAGAGCCCCACCCTTGACCTACAATCCAGACAGCTGCTCCTCAAAACTTTCTGGGAGAAGGAGAAAAATATCTCTGCTTCTAACCATGTGTGTTCTCATATATATATATATTTAGAGAGAGTTTTAAGACATTTTGTTGCAGAAGGAGAAGTCACCAATCTTGACTTGTTGCAGAAGGAGAAGTCATCAATCTTGACTTGTTGCAGAAGGAGAAGTCACCAATCTTGACTTGTTGCAGAAGGAGAAGTCACCAATCTTGACTTGTTGCAGAAGGAGAAGTCACCAATCTTGACTTGTTGCAGAAGGAGAAGTCACCAATCTTGACTTGTTGCAGAAGGAGAAGTCACCAATCTTGACTTCCAGGCTAAGATGGGTGGAGGGATCTTGGCATTTAGGGAAGAAAAGCACCATCCTCCGGGTATCCCTTGCTCCAGCAACAGCAATGCAAGTTTCATTAATTTGCTGGTCTGTCTTCATCCCCCCTCCCCAAATAAATTAAAAATAAATAAACCAGCCCTCTGAAAAAATGGCCATTCATTAGCTCCAGTGACAAGACTGTCCTGGAATCAGGAACAACGGAAAGATTTTGAAGGGAACGTTGGGAACTTCCACGGTGGCAAACGCGGAAAAGGGATTCCATAGGACCTCAAGTAAGAACATCCACACAGAATAAAATGCAATAAAATAAAAAATTCAAGTATTCAGAGAACGGAGCCAAAAGTGAAGTCATGATTTCTCTCATTTAAATCCCAAAAAGCAGAGAGAGAGAGAGAGAGAGAGAGAGAGAGAGAGAGAGAGAGAGAGAGAGAGGGAGAGAGAGAGGAGGAGAGAGAGAGAGAGAGAGAGAGAGAGAGAGAGAGAGAGAGNTTCCTTCCTTCCTTCCTTCCTTCCTTCCTTCCTTCCTTCCTTCCTTCCTTCCTTCTTCCTTTCTTCCACAGGTTGAGAATTACTGCTCTGTCTATCTCTCTGTTTATCCATCCATCCATCCATCCATCCATCCATCCATCATCTCATTTATGTCCATTGTTCCACACAACATTTATGATCAATCACACATTGGAAAATGCCAAACTAGACCTCCTCAGCCAGAATACCTTTAACTTGTCATAACATCTGTCAGTCAAGTGATCAGTCAAATATAAGCTCAAGAAGTTTTATACCCAACAATCTCCACGTGTTGAATGGATTCAATTTTCAAAACAACTTGACCGTTCCCGTTCATTAAATTTTCCCAATGGAATTAATACTCCCAAACAGATCAGGCTTTCTTTGTGTTGTTTGTTCATTTGCCGCCTTTAATTCAGCTAGTTTCAAGGAAATGTAAATTTTAGAAGCAAATCACACCATTTTTTTTCAGCTCTGGCCCCTATTACATTTTAAAGTGGCCCAGTTTGCTGTGTCCCAAATTCTAAAGTCCGTTACCCACTTCGGTGCTCCAATATTTGAGGGGCTGCCACAAGGAAGAGGGGGGTCCCCAGTCTATTTTCCAAAACGCCTGAAGGCAGGACAAGAAACAACCGATTGGAAACTAAGCAAGGAGAGACGCAACCTAGAAATCTCCTGACAGTGAGAATAATAATAATAAATAATAAAGAATAAATAGACAGTGAGAACAACTTGCCTCCAGAATATGTGGGTGCTCCAACACTGGAGGTTTTTAAGAAGAGATTGGACAGCCGTTTGTCCATAATGGTCTAGGGTCTCCTGCTTAAGCAGGGGGTTGGACTAGAAGACCTCCAAGGTCCCTTCCAACTCTGTTATTCTGTTTTTTGTTTCTGCTCGCAGATGAACTGAATGCCTCTGCATTTTGCTTCCTGGCATCTCCTCTGAAAGCTGTTTTCAATTAGCTATCCTGAGCGCTTCTGCCTTTGAGTGTGCTCGAAATCCAGTTTTGTCCCTTCCACCCACACACACATAGTAGAGAAAGCAAGAGAAAGAGCAAAGGAGGATTGAGATTTGGGTCTTTCCCCTGGGATGCGGTGAGATTTCCCTGTGACTCATGGAGTCCGGTTTTTGCCAACAAGGCCAACATGTTTCTCCTCACCACTGACTCCCCCAAGGCTGCCAAACTCTGGAGTTTTCTCCTGGAGTCCTAAGTCCCAGAAATTTCTTTAGGAGGCCAGGGGAGAAGTAATGTAGCAGTCATGCATAGAAAATATCCATGTCAGCCCCTGAAACCTGCCTCTCCAAACCTCGGTACAGCAGTTTGTGAAACCAGCCATGCTTTGGATCTGTTGCTTTTCTGCAATGGCAACAGCCATAGCAACCGCACTTATATACCACTTCACAGTGCTTTACAGCCCTCTCTAAGCGGTTTACAGAGTCAGCATGTTGCCCCCAACAATCTGGGTCCTCATTTTACCGACCTCGGAAGGATGGAAGGCTGAGTCAGTCTTGACACAGTGAGGACCGAACTGCTGACAGTGGGCAGAATTAACCCGCAATACTGCATTTTAACTACTGTGCCGCCACGGCAGATGGATGGATGGATGGATGGATGGATGGATGGATGGATGGATGGATAGATAGATAGATAGATAGATAGATAGATAGATAGATAGATAGATAGATAGATAGATAGATAGATAGATAGATAGATAGATAGATAGATAGATAGATAGATAGACGGACGGACGGACGGACGGACGGACGGACGGACAGACAGACAGACAGACATAAAGATAGATGATAGATGGACAGACAGATGATAGATAGATAGATAGATAGATAGATAGACAGACAGACAGACAGACAGACAGACAGACAGACAGACAGACAGATAGATGATAGATGGACAGACAGATGATAGATAGATAGATAGATAGATAGATAGATAGATAGATAGATAGATAGATAGATAGATAGATAGATAGATAGATAGATAGATGGATGGATGGATAGATAAAGAGGCAGACAGACAGAGACATAAAGACAGATGATAGACAGACAGATAGACATAAAAACAGATAGATAGATAGATAGATAGATAGATAGATAGATAGATAGATAGATAGATAGAGACAGACAGACAGACAGACAGACAGACAGACAGACAGACAGACAGACAGACAGATGATAAAGAGTGATAGAGATAGCAATAGCAATTAGACTTAGACTTATATACCACTTCACAGTGCTTTACAGCCTTTTCTAAGTGGCTTACGGAATCAGCATCTTGACCCCCAAAATCTGGGACCTCATTTTACCGACCTCGGAAGGATGTAAAGCTGATTCAGTCTTGAGCTGTTGAGGATCGAACTGCTGGCCATTGGCAGTAAGCAGACTTAGTCTGCAATACTTCATTCTAACCATTGCGCCACCATGGCTCATGCAAGGTGGAAACATAGATAGCGAGGGCCGTTGGGTTCTTCAGTTCTGATTCATATGAGCCATCATAGTTGAGAGAACAAGATGGC